TATTAAATATATTTAATATAGTTAATATATTTAATATATCAGATATACTTAATATAGTTAATATATTTGATATAAATTAAATATATATATAGAGGACTAAATTCATTAAAAATGATAACAATCAATTGCTTGATGCAATTTGATCAGTTTTGTGATAGTTGTATGCAACCTTTTTGTAAAAGATAGTACAAGACTACTCTTTTCTATTTATAATCAATTCTCCTTTTATATTTTCTTATTTTAGTTTTTTACCTTTTTAATTTGTTTATTTATCAATAAACCTTTATTTTTAATTTTCTAAAAACGTCTTTGAGACATTTATATTAGTAATATAATTAATATTTATTTTAAACTTAATATATAAAAATATATTCAATAATGTATTAAATATACTTGGCAGTATATTGCAGATGAATTATATATTCATTGAAGGTTTAAATATTTTTAGTATATAACAGAATCTTGTTTAATTTGAAAACTATGGATTTATTATGTAAACTATAAAAGAATTAACCTTTTGATACTACGTTTAACAGTTGCAACCTGAAAAGATTGTATATTAATAATATAATATCTTATACTTTACTTTAAATAATTATTTATTATATAATATTAGTAATCATAATTGTATAGTGATTACAAGTAATTTTATAAATATATTTAAAATTAATAAATAAAAATACAGAAAAATTTACCTATAAAAATATTAAATAAATAGTATATATATATATATAATTTATTAAATTTAAATTATATAAAATATAATAAAATTTTTTAATAATAATATAATATATATAATTTTTATTATATTTATATTTATTATAAATTTTAAAAATTTAAAAGATTATTTATTAAATTAATTAAATTTTATAAGTTATTAATATAATTTATAATAGTTAATAAATTGATTTAAATAATAAATATTAATATTTTATAAATTTAGATATTTAATTATTATTAAATAAATAATTATCAATAAATTTTATTTTTACTTAAATAATTTATTAATTAAAATAATTTATTTATTAATATTTTTTATTAAATAGAATAAATAATATATATTAAAAATAAAATTTATTTTAATAATAATTGTAAATTAAAATCTTAAATTTTTAATTTAAATATTTTTAATTTAATATCTAATTTTTATTTATTTATTTAATTAAATTAATATAAATTATATAAAATTTAATTTTTTACTAAAAATATTAAATTTATTATTAATTAGATTATAATTCATTTATATAAAAAATAATTATTAATAATATATATTTTTTTTAAAATGCGTTTACCTGAGTGTCAAGCTTTGAATAAAGTATAATAATAAAGATCAATCACTTGAGGTATAGATGTCTGCCGAAACCTCCTCAAAATAATTTTGTCATACCCTTTTCTATGTTTTTAATATAGTTTCAACAGTTTTAGCTTTCGTCGTATCGAATGGATTTCGTCGTATCCCTTATTATGATTTAAATATAGTTTTGTCTAAGTTTTAACTATTATTAAGGGGTTTCATCCCTCATCTATAACTTGAGGTCTTATCACTAATTAAAGATAGTACAATCTTTTTACATATATCTATCAGTAGGTTGTCATTTAGTTTATAATTCACTTCACCTGGATTTAACTTTAAGATCTACTTAATTAAACTCCATTAGGATTTTCATATATCAAATTTGGATAGAAAGCTCATTTCAGTTACAGTAATTGACAGTCACTATTTTTACCAATCTAATTTATAAGGATTTATCCTATTGATAACTTTTGAAACTGTAAGATCAAATTCTTTACATAGATAATAACTTAATACTCATAGCGTCAAATATATATAGGAATTGAACTTGACCTCTACTCTTAATGATAACGTGATCTGATCTAAAATTGCGATATATAATGCAGTTTATTATTTTTTGTATATTTCAGATCTACTAATTATTAGTTAAATACTTTCTTACTTATGTAAGAACTCCTAAATTTGAAGATGTGAGGCAGTATCTATTATAAACTTATTAGTGAAGATCAAGTTTTTGTTAACTCTAATTTTATTTGCATTTATATATTTTTCAAAATTCAGTATTTAAGTATAATCAATGCTGATTGATAGATTAATTAATCAGTTTTAAATATATGTTAATTTATATCTACGTATTCAATTATAATAAAATTCATATGAAAATCATCCAGTTTTATGTCTTAGCTGAGACTTGAACTTGTGACTATTATAATATAATCTATAATAGAAGTTCAGTTATTACTAACTGAATTAGAGACGCTGATCCCTTAATTATTAATAATATTAAATTTTATTAAATAATAAATAATTGTATTATATTTGTTTTCTACTTAATAAAATTAAAAACTTTTATTATATTTTTTAATTAATTTATTTAATAAATATTAATAATATAATAATAATGATAATAATAATTAATTATTAAATTTTTTTAATTTTTATTTATAATTTTAAAAGTAATTAAATTTTAAGTTAAATAAAAATTTTTAAAAAAAAATCATAATTATAATTTTTTTTACAATATAAATTATATATATTTTTATAATAATTTAATATTTATATTATTAATATTTTAAATTTATTTATAATTAATATTTTTTTATATATTTTAATTTTATTTAAATTTAATAGATTATATTAAATTAAATTAGATTATAAATTAGAAAATAGGAACTATTATTAAAGTTTGAAATAATCTTAAATAAAATATTCACTGATATTTATTTTATCTAGACTTTTGTGCAATTTGTAAATGTTAATCAATATCAATTCAATTATTGAGTAGGAAAAGAGAAAGTAGATATCAAGAGCCAAATAGCATAGAATTATATAGGTTTTTGCTACAGTCTGAATTAATTAAATTTAGACTGGTATTAGATTAAATTAAGATTTATTTAAATAAAATATCAATAATATATAATAATTATTTTTATAATTAAAATATAATTAAATTAATAATTAAAAGTTATAATATACTTATATCTATAATATAATTTTAAAAATAAAAAATAAATTAATATTATATTTTAATATTTTTTAATCTAAAAAATTATTTTTAATAATAAGATAAATTTGTTTTATATTATTATTATATCATAAAGACTATATATATTTAAAAAGATATATTTATTACTCGAATTATTTTAAAATTTAATTTTGATAATAAGTTAAAAGATATAATTATACTTGTGAAAATCAAATTTACTTAATAATTATCATATTTTACAAAAAATTTTATATATTTAGGGGATTTTTTTTTGGTTAGCAAGTAACAAACTTCCATCATTTTCCATTCTAATTTTAATTTTAATTTTAATCTTAATTTTAACTCTATACTAAATAGTACTTCGGATTTTTGCTTGCAAATAGTGCATAGAATTGAACTAAAATAAACACGTAGATCATTACAATTTGTGACAATAATTTCACCCCCCGGAATTTTTACAGTACGTTCGGCAAAATTTTTTTTTACTGGATCGGTCATTATTTATTTTATTTGACATTTATTAAGTAATATAACAATCGTTTTATAAAGACAATCTACAATAAAAAATTGATTCGATCTACAGCATATCATAAGAAAATGAATGAAAATATGGATGAAAAAATGGAAGTCGAGAATGAAAAGAGTGAGCACAATTCTTTTAAATATCAGAATTTTAAATCACAAAGAACCAAGAAAAATCGTCGTGGGAAAAACAAATGGGTTGTAAAAGAGAATAGAACAGTTGACTATATTTCCTACGTAGAGGAAAAAAGGTGTGATATATAAGAGCTTATAAATATCTGATCCATTAAATTAAATTATGATAAATTTTTCTTCCAGGCAAGGCCTTTTACAAAGCGTTTTCTTTCAAGAATTGCAAGGTTTGACAAATTAACAATTTTTTTTAAATAAATGTTCAAATTTTGATTTCTTTTTTAATATTGAAAGAAAAAATCAACAATAAACTTTTCCCCCCACATCGACCAAAACTCGTGGATATTGTTTGTTATGGAATTGGAAGTATCGAAAGATCCACAACATCGCAATTTCAATTTGCATTCATGTTAATTTTGAAAAATTTATTTCAAGTAATCTCATTAAATATCTACAAGCCATGTATCTTTTCGTTATTATTTAGAAAAACTAAATCCTTTTTGTAAAGATAACAGGGAAAGCTTATGTGTACGATCCTGTCTTGACATTAATTGACTTGGACATTCTTTCACATTATGAAATAAGTATAATCGACATTAACGAAGTATGTCTCCATCTTTAATTTAGATTAATGGAGCGAGTAAATTTGTTTCATTAAAAAATTTTCGTTTTTTTTGATTATATAAGAAAGCAAAGAGGAAAATCACAAATCAGACTCTTTTTTATATGCCACATTGTCCAATTGGATTATATAATAACGTGATCGCGTCGAACTGGGAAAAAAAGAAGCTGGAAAAGATAATCCTTGTCGGAAACAGATTAGATTTTTATAATGAAGGGTAAGACGAATCCCTATTTTCATACACGTATTAATTTCGTAAACTAATCGAAAGATTAATTTGTTTAAGGATGTCAACGTCTTCGTTGAATAGCAAAGCTCCCTACATATATCATATATCCTTTTTTTCCTTATCTTTTGTTTCCATCGCGCGTCTTTCCTTTTCTCAGCTTTAAAATTCCTTGACTAACTTTCTGACACGCTTTGACGATTATTAAGAGTGTTCCTTTTCCAACGATTCCGGCAAAATATAATGATGATCATCATCTGATACAAATTCCAACTAATATATTTAATGATTTATGTTGGCAATGGTTTCCAAGTGATGGAGAATTATCGAAATTAGATGGAAAAGTTGAATTTTGGACCTCGAAAACAACTACATCGGAGGATGTTCATAATTTGTAAAATATATATATATATTTATACGTGTGTGTATACATAGATATATTTATGTATTTGCTTTCATTTATTTATAAACTAATCTCATCCCGAGGATTGATAAAATATCACCAAACTCTACATTCTTTTACCATCGATACTACCTCTTCAAATAATTCTTTGTCTCCAACCTGTTCATCTTGATCAACGGTGTCATTATTCTCACCATTTTTCTTTAATGCCAACCCTACTACCACAGATCTTCCATCACTTGGATTATCTGCCGCTATCATTGTGGCTAGATGTGATGCGTACAATTGGTATAGCGACGTCATAGATCCGAAAAGAAATTTTACATTGGTGGTAGTGGAAGGCGATACCGCTAGTACGGTTGGTGAAAGTGAATCAACCGTCACGTAAACCTAATTACATTTAAAGGAAATCCCTAAGAAATCAACATTTTTTAGAGTAATGTTTTTTAGAGTAGTTGCATACCAAACTGCCAATTCTTCCGTATTGAGTAACAATTACAAGTATTTTGTCACGGAACCCCGTAACTAATACTTCTGTATGTGTACCGTTGAGCAAACGAGCTGTTTGTCGTGTTTTTAAGGGAAATACAGGTTGCTCACTTGAAGCCATTAGAAAAAAAAAGTTTCTCTTAAATTTATCTTTGATCGGAAATCGGAAAATATATAAATAAATAATCTGTCACTTTTGGATCACCTAATCAAAATTTCTGCGATGAAACCCCCCCCCCCCCCCCGGAAAAAGAGGGTGACAAAGTTGCGGCGTGATTTTAGCCTAAGGAATGATGACGAAACTGTTACAAAAAAAAGAATCTTGGAAGTACTTCCTATTATTTTATTAGTTATCATTAATCAATCAATAAAATTTATAAAGATCCGATTCGATAAACACTGCAGCTTTGCATGATTTTCAAAAAGAGGTGAAAGTGTGACCCTTGTTTCAAATAAGGAAATACGTAGCTATAGATGTTTGATTGCCTGTTCACAAATTTCTAAGAACCGGAATTCTATCGAAAATTCATACTTTGGAAAAAAAGTTGAAAGTTTTAAATATATACTTATATATAAATAAAATGTTATGGAGAATTTTAGGTCCGTTAGTTGTTTAGATAGTACCGATAAAATTTTCCGATGATATTCTGTATGTCGACCGGTGTAACATCCGGGCTAGTATTCGGCTGAGTTTGCCTAATCAATGAATTCGTGAACCTTTATTGATATTTATGGTCATCGTACCAGATTACAATTAGTATTGAGCACCCTATTACCCTATTTTTTCTTAACTTTTCAAACCTCCCCACACTTTCAAACACCGACAAATTTCTTATCCACCTTTATCACAACCGTCCTCCGTCAACGCTTGTTCTAATATCTCTCATATTTAAAAAATTTTCGCGTCACTTTGTCACTTATCGCGTGTTTTTTACACTTTACAACTACCGTTCAATATATTTCTTCCCGTTTCCTTTTTAAAACGAACGCGGACAAAGAACTCCTCATTTGCTTTTCAAAGCCATACTAACTGTCTAACCTTTGCTTGGCTCGTGAGACTCGGCTTTTTATACGATCCCTTTAATAGACATGTTCTCTTTTCCCTCATCATCAACTCACTACTACACCTTGTACTACTAAACCGTCTGCTTATTAATATATACAAATATAGTCACTTTCAAAAAGGGCTTCTCTTTTTATTTAATATATTGTGTTTGGAGTGGCTAGTTCCACTAAAAAGAGAACAGGAATATTAACTTGGTTTTAATAGTGATCCAAACGTTATTTGACACAAAGGACGCCACTTAGAACCAAGAATAAAAAAAAAGCACACGTGAAATAAGGCTCTGTGCTTTTTTTTTAGATTTGGTCTACCCTATTTATCTTGAAGAAAAAAAAAATTTTTTTATTTGTACAATAGTATTTAAAAGCTTACAATGGCTTCGGCACAACTTTCACAATTCTCACACATGTTTTCTATTCCAGCCATCCCAGAAACACCAACTACTACTACAGTTTACCCAATTTCAATACCGCTATATTCAAATAAAATTAATAATAGCAATACCTCACAGGTAACAGGGACGCGAAAGGAGTCAAAATATTTAGAGGTTCGTAATGAGACAATAGAAAATGACTCAAGTTCCAATTCGTCGCGTGTATTACCACGCGTCGTATTTAGCGCTCATTTTTCACCAAAAAGAGCTCTGTCTCCTAGTGAATTTTCTTCTAGTCCAGCATCATATAGTTCTGCAGAGGAAGATTTCATTGCTAGTGAACAAGATGCTATCACAACCCTCGCATCTTTAGCGGTAGTGGCAAGAAAGATTCATCCATCACCCGCGTTTTCATCAGTGGCAAGTAGCGCAGTATCAAGTCCACCATCCAGTCCTTGTCCGGCTAGCCCTAGACGATCTGCACGAAAACCAAAACCTAGCAGTCGTTCTAAAGAACAAATCTTAGGTAAACGACGGTTTTCTGGGCCTGCAACGCGGTTAAGAAAACATAAGTCCGTTATCACAGAAGATGATGAAAAGGAGGAATATTATCGTGATCGTGCGGCACCTATACCAGCTCTTGAAGCTTCTTATACAAAAACGAGACGTATACCTATACCTATTATAGCAGGTGATGGAGTTATTGGATGCGGAGGATATAAATTTATTCCTCCAAGTAATTCAAATTATCCAATTCCACCGAAAAAGAATGAAATTCTTTCAATGTGGTCATCTATTCAGCGTAAATTGTTCCTTGCTTCATATCTCGAATATGGAAAAGATTTTGCGGTAATAGGCAAACAAGTAAATAAATCGACGGTTCAAGTTGTGGAATTTTATTACTTAATAAAACACTCTCCTGAATTTCGAAAGGCAAAAGCAATGAAGAAAGAATTGGAGTTGTATGAAGAAGACCTTAATAAGGTTGATGCCCAGATTAAAAATCTTGCAAAATTGGCTTATGGAAAAAAAGGAGGACGAAAGAAGAAGACAGCTCGTAACTGAACATAACCAATGTGTTTGAAAAAAAGAAACGCTCTCTTTTTTTTTTTGAATTCATATATCTTTATTTAGTTTTAGAATTATTTAATTCATTTATTTAAAGAAAATTTTGAATTTACATATTTAGGGAAGAAATTTCTAAATTAAAAAAGATTATTTATTTGGTTGGAATTTCGGACATTTTTTCTTTTGTAATTAAAAATTATAAAAAGGAGAACATTCATATATTATATATATATTCACATAAAATGCCGACCGGCTTGGCAACTTTTACATTTTACGTGTATTTTTTATTCCTCCTCGCCTATTCTTTGTACCTTTATATTTAATTATCGGGCTTTTTCTCTTTTTTTCATTCATTTTAATTTTTTTTTATTTTATTTTTTTTTTTTTTTTTCAAGGACGTTGATATTAATTTTGTTTAATAATTTATTATTTATATTTATATTTATATTTATATTTTTTTTTTTCTTGTATGTATACTTTTGTAACTTAGAAATTTTATAGAGGTTTTGTAATTAATTGACAATACCTCCAATTTTTTCTTTTTTTTATTATTTGTTATTTATTTTTAAAAAAAAAGCTGGTGACGTTGATTTGTTTTATGATGGTTTATACTTATTTTCTTCATTTGATATAAATATATATATAAATATATATATATATATATATATATTTTTAAAAAAAAAAAAAAAAAAAAAAATTTTAATGAGATGTGAGAGATTGCTAGCTAGTATTTTAAGAAATGTTCAAAGAATTTATTCAACCAAAAAATATTATTTATAGATTCTTTTATTTTATTTTTTTGGTTACAAAAAAATTTTTCGCATATTTTGTGATTTATTATATTGTCTATAATATTCATTATTATATTATTCCATTATTAGTTATCTTTTTTTTTCCTCCTTCATTTTATAATAAAGTGGAAAAAAAAAAAAAACATATATATATATATTAATCAATCTTTGTGTTAGATTTTGTAGTGATTGAATGAATGTGTGTTAAGATCGCGTTGAATGAGCGATGAATGTAAGATTACGTCAGACGTGATTATATTTTAAATTGAAAGAAAGTGACGCGTCATTTTAAACAAACAATTTATTAAGTTCTTATAAATTTCTTTTGAAAAAGAATTTCTCGAATTTAAAAATTATTGACGTGAATCACGTGAACTTCAATTAATTCAAATTAGAAAGATTTACATATTTTTATGGTTCATCAGGCTTGGTATTTGTAAAATAACATTATACAAGTAAACCTTTCGAACATTTATTGTTGTATCAAATTCTGATGTTAATTCAACCACCTCAAAAGGCATAGAAACATGTGACTTGCTGTTGATAAAACATCTTTGGTCAATGAAATATGTAATTCGCGTGCGTTTGGCCACATTTTGATTGGACGTGTAAATTATAAACAAAAGCGCGATTAAAAGACAAATTGTCATAAATTATACTATTTACAAAGAATCGTTTAATTATTATTTTTATTTTTTTTTAGCATCTGCAAAAAAAAAAAAAAAAAAAAAAAAAAGACCACCATATTACTAAATTAATTATGAATAAAGTCCACAATAGTGAACTATTTACTAGATATTTTTTTTTTTTTCGATATAATTTTTTTCCATCAAATGAATTTTTTTTGCTATAATTTTACCTTTTTTTTTTTTTTTTGTTTTCTTTATTCTGCAGGTACTGTAGTTTTAAAGTTTTAAAGTTTTTTTTTTTTTTTTTTTTTTTTTTTTGTTCTCGATTTACATAATATCTTTCGGCTAGTATTTCCCCGACCGAGAATGCTTTCCTCGACCGCGTATGCCAATAGGATGTACTTCGAATTCTTGCATTCTATAATTTTTGCATTTATGTGCATTCGGAAGCTCTTGTATCATCTTCCGAACTGTGGGCTGTGACAACCCAAAATAATCTGGTCCAGAAGCCGCGTTTGAATGCTTTCTGTTCCGAATGCTGTTGGCCTGTTTAATGACTGGGGTCCATGCTCCAGTCGCGCTACTTGCGATTATTGCTTCGGGCTGATCTGCAGCTTGAACAACAAACTGTAAATAGTAAAGCCAAATAAATCATTAGTTGGACGCTTATTATAATTATAAATAATTATAAATAATTGAACAAATCACATACTCTCGGGTTATCTCCGGCGTCTTCGATCCTTGAGGTGTATGTTGTCTCTCGAGTCGGGTCGATCATACTTAGGTATGGTCTAAACACGTGATAAAACAAATTAGATCCCAAATGAACATGACCTTACATATGTGTGTGTATATATTATCAGGCCTATAATTACCGTTGTGTCGAGTACCCAACTGGATATATGTATCGATCATTATGGTATGCAGAACGATCAAAGACCACAGTTCCTAAATCAAGAATTGTGTGGAGTCCTACTTCGACGGGCAGAATGTAGTTACCATTCTCATCTTTATCGACATGGTACGCCTTAACATTCCTCGAACTTGCGGGAGGACGACCGGGACCACGTTTTGATGAAGTAACCGGAACATCATTTACGATGTTCCTTGCAGCATGCGCTGCTGATTTTACATTATGTGCAGCAGATGCATCATTTTGTCGTCTTTGATGGTCCTTGGTCGAGGTTGATTCATTTTTAATATAAGTTGTAGACAATTTGTCCAGTAAAGAACTAGAAGTTGTTAATGTTAAAAATTTTTAAAAAAAAGCGATGTAAAGATACGATTATAATATTTACTCTCTTTCTTCTTTGCATTTTCTAACTGTTTTTATGGCGCGTCCGTATTCTTCGTTTAGCTCTTGGTTGGCCTATAATAAAGTTGAAGGACGCGAAAAATTGATGTCTTTCCACACTAATTCGTGAAATAGCCTCATATTTGTAGTTTTATGTTAAAAAACTTACCTTCTTCAATTCCATGTATTTAAGCTTGATTTCTTTGTATTTTTCATAAGTGGATATAGCAATGGCGCCATTTTGTACATTGTTTTTTGACGGCTGGTTCTTTGTATGACGACCCATTTTTCAGAAGCTTTGAGCGTATCAAATTTTACAAGAGTACTTGTAAGATCTTTGAATAACCAAGGAAACAAAGTATATATCCGTTTCTGATACTGAGATCGATAACAAAGTAGGTTTGTATATAGAAAAAAAAACCTCTCTAAAACGCGTTTAAATAATAGTGAAAGGATTCTGTGAGTGTACGTTTTTTTTACACCGAATTGGAAACCTAAATAGTAAAAATATTTTTTATTCCTTCAAAGCTTCGTATTTTTTTTTTATTACATAAGCGAATTCGACCCAAAGGTCAAATTACCAAAGAAATTAATTTTTTTTTTAAAGATTTAAAGAAAATAAAGAGGTTTCAGGAGAACGCTGATTCAATCGTGACAACACGAAACGAAAGAAAAGTATTTATTGTAAAAAAAATTTTTTAAACTCGAATTTGAAGAATTACTTTTGATAAAAAAAAAAAAAAAGCGTTATATTGTCGAAGAAATGAAAACCAATTAACTTATCAGTAGTAAAAACCAACACGAAACGGAAAAAAATTTTTTTTTTGCTCGACCGAATGAAAAAAAAAGAGATGATAGGGAAAAAAAAATTGTCAGATTTCTAATTAAAAAATTCTTGCTAAATTCGATTGGTCTTTTGTGATTACAATTTCAGATATGTCATAATTAAAATATCACAACATCACGCGATTTAAAGTTCGCGACGAATTATCAAATATTTAATTTTAATGTAATATCGTATGGTCAATAAAACGTCATAATTATGCTTCTCTTCGAGGAAACTTTATTTATTCTGTTTTTCTGCTTATTCTGTTGATTTCCAAATGTCACAAAATCACGTATAGAAAATGATTGGCTCATCTCATCAGTGATAGATTCAAAAAGTTTTTTTCAGATCGAAAATTGTTTTTTTTTTAAAAATTCTAACTAATTTAAGCTTGTTGAATAATTTTTCTATGTCCAGGACAATTACCGAGGTTGATATAATCAAAGAATTTAAAAATCCATCAAAAATTGCATAATTTCAATCACGTGTTCTGCCTCAAATGACCATTCATAATGTTATAGGCCGCAAATCTGTTAAGACAGAAGAAAATTTCAACTGCTGCTTTGGTTAAAGAATGCCTTTCTCGTATTTCAAAATACGATGCTAAAGTAAACGCGTTTATAGAGGTGCAAAATGAAAAGGAATTACTTGATAAGGTTTTAGAGGCTGATGATCGATTTGCTAAAGGTCGGGTTGCATATTCATTTACAATTAGTTACATAATAGTATTTATACTTATTATCTATCCTTTGATATAGGATCATTTATTGGCTCTTTAGATGGAATACCTATTGCGTATAAAGATCTATTTTGTACATCTACCTTACCAACAACTTGCGGTTCTTTAATGTTGAAAAGTTAAAAAATCTTGCCAATGTTGTATTCGTTGCGTCACGTGATTACATCATCTCAAATTGCTTGATTGTTTAGATTTTAAATCACCCTTTAATGCGTCTGTCGTAAATTTTCTTGAAGAAGCAGGCGCCATCATGATTGGGAAAACAAATATGGATGAGTTTGGAATGGGGTAAATATGATCATTCTTTAAATCATATATGCTAATCTAAACTCGAATCTCTCCATATCATATCGAAAAGTTCTGCCAACGTGTATAGTGTATTTGGACCTGTTTATAATCCTCATTCAATTCTTTTTGATGAAAATCATTTGGAAAATGACAATAATAAAAATATCAAAAAACGACGGGTTGCTGGCGGAAGTTCGGGTGGTAGCGCGGCGGCAGTTGCAGCTGGGATGTGTTTTGCGTGAGTTGATTGCGTTTTGATGCTCGATTGTTTCTTTCAAGTTATGTTCAAATACTCGATGACATAAAAAATACTGCAGTGCATTGGGATCGGACACCGGCGGATCAGTACGCCTTCCTGCTTCCTATTGTGGTGTAGTCGGATTCAAACCTTCTTATGGGCGATGTTCTCGATGGGGACTTGTCGCGTATGCTAATTCATTGGATACGGTTGGCATTCTGACAAGAACAGTAAATGATGCTAAACTGATATACGGTTAGTACCTTTACATTTCAAAAAAAAAAAAAAAAAAAAAAAGATTAACATCTTACTTTCATCTTAAATTTATTCGCTTCATTAGATGTGATATCAAAGTACGATGAAAATGATTCAACATCAATGTCTCCAAAAATTCGATCCATAAATTCTTCCTTACCTTCATTTTTAAAATCCGATTCAAACACTGATGATTTAAGAGGATTACGAGTTGGCGTGCCTAAAGCAAGTGTTTGTCCTTTTATGTTAAAAAATTATATCCGATTCTAATTAGTTGTACAAACCATAGGAATACTATGTTTCAGAACTGAATGATCCTATTATTGAATTATGGAAGAAAGGGATTTATTACCTACGATCTCAAGGCGCGTCAATTGTCCCAGTATCATGCCCTAGCACCAGACATGCTTTATCAGCTTATTACGTTTTAGCTCTTTCGGAAGCTTCATCTAATCTAGCAAGATATGATGGAGTTAGATATGGTATCTTTTTTTTTATAAGGTCATGACGTATCCTTTCCAGAGAGGTTGCGATAAATAAAGTTCTACTTTTGTCAATTTCTTCTTTAGGTTATCGAAGTGAAAAAGAATCAAACGAAAATGACAATTTGCTTTATGCTGATACTAGGGAAGGATTTGGCAAGGAAGTTAAAAGACGTATAATGTTGGGAACGTACACTTTAACTGCAGGGTAATAAATCAAATACCTCTGATACGTCTTATATCACTCTGAGGTCCTTAATATAAAACATCTTTCTATTATAAACTTTAGATCATATGAAAACTATTTCCTTCAGGCGCAAAAAATCCGTAGAATGATACAATCAGATTTCGATCGAGTTTTTAAAAGACCAAATCCGTTACATTTTATTAAAAAAGATACATTAAAGATTGATGATGATGGGGTTGATGTTTTGATAACTCCAGTTGCTATTTCTACTGCACCAAAAATCGAAAATTGCTCGGAAACTAACGTGAGCGTAGGAAATAATAGTAATGATTTTGTGAATGCTTATGTCAATGATGTTTTAACTGTACCTGCAAGTTTAGCTGGTGAGTAATATACTCTTTTTGTCTAAGTTTAAATATTTAAAATATTATCGTTGACTCAAATTTCGTCTATATAGGAATTCCTTCAATAAGCGTACCATATGGTGTTTCCCCAACCGATGGTTATCCAATTGGGTTGCAATTGATGACACAATACGGGGATGAGGACACTTTATTGGAAGTAGCAAAAGTCTTAGAAAAAGGAGCAAATCAGAAATAAACAAAAAAATCATCCTTTTGGAATTAATTTATTAATAATATCTTTGAACCTATTAATAGTTACATATTAATTATCCTATATAGAGGACTTGAATTATCATTAACTTTTCTCTTCCTTTGCATTTTCACACGGATCAAGGGACTAAACTTTCAATCATAACAACAGGTTGTGCTTTATCATTTCGAACCTACTTGATTAAAAGAGAACTTCCTCTTTAATTAATTCGATTATAAGGCGATGAAAAGCAAATCATATATCAACCAGAAACAAAGAATGAATAATAAACCAGAAAACCAAGGAAAGAATTTTATCACCCCATGAGCTGTGAATTATCTTCCGGTGGATATTTTGACTGGCAAAATGTCATCAATCTCTTAATTGATTGAATCCACTTACGCGTTGACTCATCGTTAAGCACGTGAGCAACCTGCGCAGAAAAAATTTTTTCACGGGCAGAACGTTCATGAATACTAAATAAAGTTAACATAACGTTAATAAGATAATGAAACTCCGTTATGTGAAAGTTTATGAAATAAGCATGCGGCATGCATGCGCACAATGTTAATATGTAGCAAACACTTGCGATTTCCATGTTGTATAATAATTACTCCGAAATGAAACGAGCGTTTTGAATTTATAATACATACCCAACCATAGTAACACCTGATTGTTAAATAAGGATAGAATTAATTAACAAATCAAATTATTGATTCACAAATATTTTAGAAAGCATACCAATAGGCCAAGGTGCATTTCCAATCGATAATCGTAGATAAGCATCGTTCGCAGTCATGTATTCACGTTTTTGCATATAATGTGTGATTTCTGTCACCCGCGCCAATACATCTGGTTCTATCGACTATATAAATAAATAGCATTAATAAATTATTCAAACAAAAAAAAATTTTAAATCAATTAAAATCAGCAGATTCTACCTTCTTCTTGAGAGTTCTGAAAAAAGGTTGCATGTATTCATCTGTTTGTTTTTGTGTGGCAGCAGCAAGTTTGCCTTGCATACTCCTTTTAACATGATCTGGACGATTATTCATTTCTTGTTCCCATTCACGAATTAAACGCTAAAAATAGAAAGGTAAATAAATATCCCATTCATAAAATTGTACAAAATAAATATTCACCTTTAAAAAGGTATAAATAAGAATATAGAGTTTGTCCGGATCTTTTTCTAAGAGTTCAATGCTAATTGGAGTATTATCCTAATTTAACCATATTAATTAACAAACAATCCTGATAATGTGGTTGCTCAAAAATAGTAATTAAATGATGAAAAAGTATAATACCAAAGCAGAATCCTCCGTTGGTTTCTTTTTCTTTGAAGTTCGACTTTCTGCTACGTCTTGTTGTTTTTTTAAAGCTTCTAAATCTAAATTAGTGTCCATTTCTTCCAAAGTTCTCATAAAATCATTACGTTGTCCCTTGAAAGTTAGAATAAAAATAAAAAAATTAAAATGAGCATAATTTAAATAATAAATATAATTAGGTAGACGATCCATATTATTATACCTCGGTTCGCTCCTCAATAAGTTCAATAGCACGTAAACGTGTTTTACGATCTTTATCAGATTCACCAAAAAGGCGAATTGGCTGACCTTTCGCTCTTAAACGACGAACTACTTCATCTGGTGAAATATTAAAAGTATCGCTTCCATCATCCTAATTAAAAATAAAAAATCAAATGTAAATAAATAAATAATCGATCAATATAAAAATATCTTTTTATTCTTGAATATACCTCTTCTTTTTGAACTTCGCTATCTGAAGCCGACTTTTCAGCTTTTTCTTGTTCGGCAAGTAGTAAAAGCTATTAATAAAAAAATGCGTGAATAAGATATAAAGAAGTTATTTCATTCGTAAAATCACATTATTTAAATTGAATCTATACCGTTTTATTTTTTTCTCGGTGTTTTTCCTAAAACGTACAAAGAATCATCCAGTATTATAGTAAATTTAAGAATTATTGATATTCCGGAATTTAATGAATAAATTTTCTAATCTAAAAAATAATTTGATTCACACAATAAATACCTCACGTTTTCTTTCTAGTTCGGCTTGATCAGATAAATATTGTTGTTCTCTTTTCTTTTCTAGATCCGAACGACGAATATATTTCCTCTTTTTTGATCCTTGATCCTCAGATTTTACAGATTCGAGTAGTTTACGTTTCTTTTCGATTTCTGCTTTTAAAAAATCCATTTATAAAGTAATTTTATAGAAATAAGAATTTTTGTATTTTAGGTTTTCAAATCCGGAGGATTGGATCAGATCGGATTTATCAGATTCGGTTAAAGATTGATTGGCTAAAATTAATATTTGAGAGTATAAAGTGAGATCTTCATTTGAATGGAAGTATTTCTCTAATAAAAAACATTGTCAATAAAAAAATTTTTAATTTTAAAATTGATTCTAAAAATGTCAACGTTTGAAGAAATTCAAACAAGTATAATTGAAATATACAGATGAATATTTTACTTTCAAAATATTTTTCTCTTTTTTTTACTAAATTTATTATCTTTTTAATTACTTTATTCTCTTTCTAACAAAGTAAACTAATTATACTTTAAACTTTACTTTTTTATTGAAAAGTTTCTTAAATATAAGTCTTTTTTTTTCAAATTTATTATTATATCTTATATATTAAATAGAAATTGAATATATTATTTACTAATTGAAACTTAATTTTATATAATTCATTGTATTTTTTCATGTAATGTTAACTTTCTCTAAATTTGGTATAATTTTTTTTGAAGAAAGATTATAGATCATAATGATATTGAAATATAAAAATATAAAAGTTTAAATTTATTACTAGTCTTTTATTTTCAATATTTTTTAGATAGAATTAAAGATTACTAGACAAAATTTAAAGGTTTTGCAAATTATCTAAATAATAAAAAGTAAAATTCGCAAAATTATATTAAAATCTTATTAAAAATCTATGAAACTTAGGAAAAGGTAAATTATATCAAAGCTTATAAAAATGTAAGCATTTGATATAATCAAAAAAATAATCCTCTTTTACAAACAATTACCTATCAATGATAAGTTTAAAATGGATAATTTTAAAGTTATATTTCATATTTGAAAATGCATTATATTACATCTTTACAACAAAAGTTAATTGAAGATTATTTTTCTTCTAATTAAAACATTTTGATATTATATATATAATTTTGATTTTAGTAATATACTTAATATAATTATATAATAAATAATATGTTTATTAATTAATAAAATTGATATATTATATGTTTCTTATAGTTTTTATTTATATTTTATATTAAAAAAATTTTTTTGTTTATAGTTACATTTTATCATAGTCATCAAATATAAAATGTCCTAAATGTGTGACTATAACAAGAGTTAACTGTATTTAAAATATTTATAAAATGTCTTTATTTTTATTTCTCAATTATTTAAAAATTTTATTTAATTTAAAAATATTAAAGAATATTCAAATTTCTAAAATTATTATTATTTTTTTGTCTATTGATAAGAAAATTATAGAAATAATAATTTTTATTTTTAATTTTTAATAAAAATCTTAATATTATTAATTATAAAAAGATTTTTTACTATTTATTTAAAATATTATTAATTATTTTTTGCTATTAAATTATTATAATTAAAATATTTAAAGTAATTTTTATCAAAATATTGATTTATTGTACTTTGATTTTAAGCTAATTTTCTTATTTAAAATTAAAAATACTATTTGTTTTTTAAGATTTATAATCAAAAAGAAGAGAAATTTAAAAGTTTTAATTAAATCATATAAAAATAAAAAATATAATAGCCTTAATAAAAAAGTTTAAAATATGAATATTATTATATTTATCTAATAATAAAAAATGAATATATAGATGTTTATAATAAAAAGCTAAATAAATTTTTTTTACTTTATAAATTAAATATTATTTTTTTAGTAAAATAAATTCAAATTTAATATTAATTCAAAATATTTTTTTAATATTTTTTTCTTTTTTTTTTTTATTACAAAGTATTTATATTTGCTAATATCTTATAAATAAAAAAAAAATTTATAAATAGATTATAATTGACAAAATATCATTATTAAAAGAAATTAAGTAAAATAATACAAATAGTCAAATTCTAAAATCATTAATGTTAAATTAAATTCTTAATAAAGTAAAATGTTTAATATATATTTTAATAATTTTTTACTTTAGTAAACTTTATAAATTTTTTAGATTAAATTTGAAAGTAAACTTTATTATAAAAAAGTTTTTTGATTGATTCATCTTATTTTTATTTTTTTTTCTTGCTATTTTAAAAAAAATTAAGCTTTTATTTTTTATTTTTTATCAATAAGAATATGAAAATATTATATAATTCGTATTTTGTATAACAATCAGACAAATCTATTAGATAAAAAAGGGGCAAAATTTAACGATTTTCTTAATAAAATCAAAACATCAATTTTTTTCAAGATATATGAAACGTCATCAAATTTGATCTGATCATTACACAAACTAAACCACTTATATGTCAATACCTAAATTATATGTACAATAATTTTTTTGAAGACTTTCAAAGAGATAAATATAATATATACTTGTGAGCTAGTTGGATTCCAGCATTAAAATTTTTTACAGTTTTCATTATTATACAAAATATTTATTACAAAGTTTGAAAAAAGCAACATTTTATTCATATTTATTCATATTTTAGACGTTTGAGCTATTATTGCTACTTTTTGGCAGTATTGACTTATATAATGAGATATCTAATTTTGTATAGTCTCTAATTTCAGAACTTTTTCTTCTTCAATTATACCATTTTCTACATTTTGCTTTAGCTGAGTAAGCATATTTTCTGCAATACGTCTTTTACTTTTGTTAACGTTGCTTTCTAAAAAATATCCTTGTAGGAGGTTTCACACTTTTTTAGAAATACGCTTACTACCTCCTTTTTTTTCATATTTTTGCACTGATTTCAACGTCTATTCACAAGACAATAATCATAATAAAAACTGTGAACTACAAATATCAAGATCAATGTTAGGTCATTATTTGTAATTTTGCAACCAAAAAATATATACCTTGAATCCAATATTATCTTATTTCCAACCTTAACTGAATTTTTATCTTTATCTGAGTAGAGATCGTGACTTGATGATGGGATTGATAAATATTTATCATTATCTGTTATTGATAATGGAGCAGAATGTTACAAATATGAACAAAAACCTAAAAAATCACTTTTTACGTATCTGATATTTTCGTCAAAATCTCTTTAGCCAATACTATTTCTAATTTCTTTACCAAATCTCTTTTATTAGTATTCATATCCTTTACAATTCTACGAGTTTCTAGTTGTTCTTTCACATGATTTTTTTTAGTTTTTACCTGAATTTCTATATTTTATATTGAATCAATTGCTTGTTTATCTGAAGATTATCATAGGCTAAAGTAGGCTCACAAAACCTGTATCATTTGACAGTAGAATTGTCTATATATTCTCAGGTATTGAAGGCGTTAATACATTAGGATTTGGTTTTCTAATTATTTTTGATTGTAATTTCTCTAAATCTTTTGGAAAAAATTTTTTTCAGACACCAAGATTTGCAATATCTCTTGCCTGAATACAATTAGCATATTCACCAGTAAGAGGCTATGACCATTCAAACCAACTTGAAATTCTAGATAATTTATTTTTGGCTTTTCTAACTTCTGTAAGAAAGATAGTTTGAAAATTTGCTAATAATTTAACTGATTTTAATTTGATAAAATATCATATACCTTTTTTTCTATCCAATTCTAAATGAAATACAGATATTTCACAAATTCCAGATATTGCATCCTCAATATCTTTTCTCGATGATATATTAAATCCCAATTTTACATGCCAATTGATAGCATGAGCAATCTATTCAAATGTAAGGTAAGTAGTAAATTATAATATAATTCAAATAGATAGATTTAAATAGACCTGAGCATGATGACTATCAATAGTTGTCTTCGCTTTCTTAGGCTTAAGAAATATCCACTTTTTAGACCAAATATTATACCAATCTAGCCAATGTCTCAAAATTATCATTAGATCTATATTATGGTAATGAGCTCTGTTATCAGAGATAATGCTAACCCACTCTAGTTTTTTTTCCATAGATTCAATAACAGTATGAAGACTAGATGCTGTGAACTATGCATTTTAACGTGAATCATTAGACCAGTGATCATATGCTTAGATATCAAATTCAAGAGAATTTGTTTTACGAGTATATACCAATACTGAATATAGAGTCTAACCCTTCTTTCTAAAAAATTGTTCTTTTGTCTCCCTTGCACTTTTAAGTAATACCTTCATCTTATAATCTATAACTATAAGCGCTCCTTTTTCATCTAATTTTAATAAATTCGCGTTAAACTGTACATTTAAATACACTTTGCACGTTTGGTATGCAAGATAATATAGAAGGTGTTCATGTTATTTATCTAGTTCATTATGTAATATAACGGAAGTATCTTTTTTTAATTAGTGAAAGATTTCAAATAATTGTTCACATTTAACATATTCACAATCATGTGATTCTGTACAAATGCCAAAAGTATATAGAAGACAGTAGCTAATGTAAGCATTATGAGAAACAGTCCCATTTGTAGCAATTTCAAGTTCTTGTTCATAAGACTTTTTAAAGTAACAACGCAAATGTTCAAGTTTTTTGATATAGTTTTTCTTGGTAATAATAAAAAATAGTTTATTTATAATAAAATAAATCAAAAATAAATAAGCAAGGTTTATGATTACATAAATACATATGAATTGTAAATTGCCTACTTGAAGATTATTGTCTTGAAAATTTTTTTCAACAAATTATTTCATATCTGCAAAAATTTCATACCCATAACGACTACAAATTAAATAAAGATCACCAAGATCTTCTTAATAAATATATTGTTTTTCTTGCAAAAATGTCATAAAAGATGTTCGTTTAATACCATCCGAAAATTGTATGCTAAACTTTTCTCATAAAGCTTTTTTCGTATTTTTAAGATATTTTACTAGAAGTCCAATTTTAGTTTCTGTTTTATAGCTACTTATTACAACATTATTTTTATCATCCAAAAATTGTTGTAACTGGTCAGACTTTTCTTGAGAAATTATTATATAAGTAAAAACAGGTTTTTCAATATGTTTAGCACCTAGACCATGTAGTCTTACATACTGACATA